AACAGTGTTGGTGTGAAACAGTGTTCGAAATAGTTTCCAAATTTTACTAGCCAGTCGGGCTAGCTATGCCTGAAAGTTACTAGCCCACAAAATAATTCACTAACCCGAAATTTGAATGTAGACACAGGTTTCATCATTAAGCTGCTAATATGATGAAATTTTTTTCAGGCCATAATCTTGCATGATTTAAAAGTGTTATAACTTAACAAGTCAGAGAGAGATATATATTTACAAAATGACCCCATGAAAATTCACTAATCAGTCGGGCCAGTGACTGTTGATTTTTACTAGCCACGGGCTAGCGGGCCAGTGGCTATTTCGCACACTGGTGTGAAAGTATATATCTATGAGAGCTAAGATATGGACATCAAAATTGATATTGAAATTCATCTGCAATCGATCAATTTGATGAAAAGTATTCAAAAGAACCTGAATAGATCAATAATTTTAATACAGAGTTCAGTATCCTTAACACCAACACACCAACCCAATCTGGTTGGGATTGTGTGTTTGAATTGGCTGTAGTGACCAATGCTTGTTGTCTTAGGTGACCAGGTAGATTCCATAGTGAGGCAGGTGACTTGACGGCATGTCAGCATTGCTAGTGTGGCATTAATCACGAGCAAAACAAGCTTATACAGACCAGTTGACGTCATGTTGATACGGTCGATCCTCATATATATCATGTTTTCTTCACTGGTGCTCACAGCGTGAAATAGGAAGATAGTGGACTTGTAATGACCAAGTGCTTGCCAACAGGGACCAGGTGTTTCAGATGTTACTGAACCGGGAGACTGGTTGAGACAAACTGTTTACATTTATTAAGAAAAGAGTAATGCACTTGGGATAGTCCGGGACATTTCTGAGTTCGAATCCCATTTAACCTTGGCTTTCTGCCAACCAAAATGCAGCACAAAATCCTGTTTGGGCTCAATTTTGTCCATAGGAATTATGTCTTGTTTGGATTATGATTTGTCCTTTGGTAGACTAACAACTAGTCTCTGAAATGAACATATTTTACAGAAAAAGAGGGTTCATAATAAAAAAAATAAAATATAATGAAAAGGAGCTCTAAGTCTTTCTTCATTTTCATTTTCAGATCTAGACTTGCATGGGCTTTCTTTGATATGTTTGTTTCAGGGTCTGTATGACAGACTATGTCCTTCGGGTGTTGTTCCGGATTATGTTTTCTTCTTCGGAATTATGATGTGTTCTCCATTAGCACTGATGGTGGTATGATATACACTGATGGTAGTATGATATACACTGATGGTGGTATGATATACACTGATGGTAGTATGATATGCACTGATGGTGGTATGATATACACTGATGGTAGTATGATATACACTGATGGTGGTATGATATACACTGATGGTGGTATGATATACACTGATGGTGGTATGATATACACTGATGGTGGTATGATATACACTGATGGTGGTATGATATACACTGATGGTGGTATGATATACACTGATGGTGGCATGATATACACTGATGGTGGTGACACTGATGGTGGTATGATATACACTGATGGTGGTATGATATACACTGATGGTGGTATGATATACACTGATGGTGGTATGATATACACTGATGGTGATATACACTGATGGTGGTATGATATACACTGATGGTGGTATGATATACACTGATGGTGGTATGATATACACTGATGGTGGTATGATATACACTGATGGTGGCATGATATACACTGATGGTGGCATGATACACACTGATGGTGGTGGCATGATACTGATGGTGGTATGATATACACCGACTGGATGTGATATGATGATGGTGACACCTCGATGGTGGTATGATATACACTGATGGTGGCATGATATACACTGATGGTGGCATGATACACACTGATGTGGCATGATACACACTGATGGTGGTGGTATGATATACACACTGATGGATGGTGACACTGATATGATATACACATGGTGACACTGATGGTGGTATGATATACACTGATGGTGGCATGATATACACTGATGGTGGCATGATATACACTGATGGTGGATGGTGGCATGATATACACTGATGGTGGCATGATACACACTGATGGTGGCATGATACACACTGATGGTGGCATGATATACACTGATGGTGGCATGATACACACTGATGGTGGTGGCATGATATACACTGATGGTGGCATGATATACACTGATGGTGGTATGATATACACTGATGGTGGCATGATATACTGATGGTGGCATGATACACACTGATGGTGGCATGATATACACTGATGGTGGCATGATACACACTGATGGTGGTGGTATGATATACACTGATGGTGGCATGATATACACTGATGGGGGTATGATATACACTGATGTTCATCCTGTTGTTCAGGTTGTAGGTACATATCCCCCTGTTGATCATGCTGTAAAGCGTAGGACTAATGTGAATACAACATATGCTCCGATACCCTGCTTGTTTGAATATTGCTGTCACTGGTGCCCTTTACTCTTATGGCCTTGACCTTGTCAGTGAGGTGTTCTGTTCTTAGTTCAGGTGTAGACAATTACTTTTTGTATGAATATATGTAATTCAAGAAGAAACAAATAATTCCATTTTAATTGAAAAGGAGAAACAGTGAGATGGGAGAACCTGAGAAAAATCTGAATTTGCTTCATTTTGGATGTGGTTCAGGGACTGTAAGACTGACAGGTGCAGTTATCTGGCTTGGATGTAGTTATGTAGCCTTGCTCCAAGGCTGTACCAAATGCTAAGCCTAGTAATTCTATCCTTTCAAGAGGCAAGTCTAGATGAGTGGACAGTATCTAAGGACACCAGTCTTTTAGAGGGCATATTTTTTCTATTTATTTGTATTTTCTAGAAATTATTATTTAAACTAATCATCATTGGCTTAGAGCCTTGGGCAAGTCTACTACTTGTGTCACCTGTTTATTAATATGCTTCTGGGTTAAAATCTGGGTTGAATATGGGATAGATGTTTACTAGCATAGAGACCTGCGCAAGTCTAGTTCTCCTGCTGCGGACTTAGGGTTAAAATCTGGGCTGAGTCTTGGATCGGTGTTTACCAGCTTAGATCTTTACACAGAGCAGATATTTGTGACATTTAAGAGCATGACATATTTGAGAGTTTGATGAGTTTCAAGTTTAATGTTACTTTGAAGCACATTCTGGAATATGTAACGTTGCATCAGAATGTTCAGTTTCCATGTCATAAATAATGATGTTTATTACATTGCAATTGCTCTTATTTGTCTACTGCTTGTACAATGTATCCAATGAATATGTTGATGAAGATGTGTCTTGCTCGCCCTTATCCTTGTTTCTTTAATGAAAGAAGTTCTTTCTTCTAACATATATCTTTATCTGTTGTTCCTGCTACCCCAGGCTGGAGCCTCTATTTGTTCACTTGGATTTCTGAAAATGGCGGACCAAAATATAATCTGTAGAATTATCGTTAATGCTGTAGGGCAGGAAGTGCTTCCCTTACAATAAACACCTGGTGTCAGCACTGATTTTCAGTGATCCACTCGTATAATTTATATATTTTTCATCACTGTTTTGCCTTTTACACACAGTGGAATGAATCTGTTTTGGCAGATAATCTAGACTGGTAGTTTCTGATGTGTATATTTAAAAAAGTTGTCTGTTTTGTCTTCTGAAGGTTTGATAATATTGACGGATAAACTATTTATAGGCTGACAAATGAACTTTGTAAAGTAATTACTTCAAATAGTCAAGTATGTTGAAATAAATGTATAAATGAATATGATTCTAACAATGTTTTCAACATATTGTTTCATTGATGATAGATAAACCATATCACGGGAATGAAAGGTACCTATGTATGATGAAGGCTGGCTGGCAGGTTGGATTTCTAAAATGATTCTGCATTTTCTATTGTTTGTTTGAAGGGATGTTGTGTTATGAACTGAATCGGCTCTTTGTTTATAGTTAGTATTTGGCTCTCATTGTAGGAAGAAATGGCTAGTGCATAGTTTTGTTGAATAGTCAGAAATCCTTGTTTGTAGTAGATAGGATAAGAACAGTCCAGTTCATATCACATGTTATGTTCCTTGTGAATATTGTTTTCTGTGTCTGCCAGAGGCGGTGGGGTAGCCTAATGGTTAAAGCGTTGGCTCGTCACGCCGAAAACCCGGGTTCGAATCCCCACATGGGTACAATGTGTGAAGCCCATTTCTGGTGTCCCCCGCCGTGATGTTGCTGGAATATTGCTAAAAGCGGCGTAAAACCAAACTCAGTCAGTCAGTCAGTCTGTGTCTGCCTTTCTTTTCCTTTTTGTTTAATGCTGCACTCAGCGATATTCCAACTATATGACAGCAGTCTGTAAATAATCGAGTCTGAGCCAGACTTCATGAGCATTGATGCTCACAATTGGGATACATGCAGCCAAGACTGACCACCCAGTCCTGTTTGTCACATCTTGCAACAAGCATCAGTCCCTAGCAAGGTAAAAATGATTCTACTTGAGTCAAGTATGTGATATTACATGGGACGGGAGTTTTAGATTTGTCATAGAGATATCACATATATCACCTGATGCTGGTAGCGCAAACATCTAGACTAACAGGATTTGACTACTGACAACTTCCAGTTACATCATCTTTCATAGTTTTATGCATTGTTCATTTGAAGCTTACTCCATATGAAAGCAAGCAAACATAAATCTCATATATATAATTGTAGAGATATTTATCTCTGTCCATGTATCACCAACATGTTAAAGTACATGTTCCTTTAAAGCTTTCCTCATGTTCATGCTCTAGATATTTCCTGGGCATCAACAAACAAGTTGTGCAATAAACAGCATGTTATCATCAGGGAAGACACGATCTACTATAGTGTGATTCTAGAATTTGAGACACATTGATAGGTATCTCCGGGTTCCTCAACTGGCAAAACAGGTGTGTACAATAAGTACCCTAGATGTCCAGCCAGGTGTGAATTGTATGAGTTATTGTTCCCACTAGACTGTTTCTGCTGCGTAACTATTGTCTACTGTTTCTTGTCTACAAAATATGATACCCCACTGCATTCATTAAGCACGACATCAATCCGAGATTGGTTGATAGCAGGTAGTTCAAAATTTGTAAAATACCGTGATTGTTTTAAGCTGGGCGTTCATAGAAACAACATGCCATACAAGTAAGTTCTGTTTTGTTTCATTCTATTATGCTTTAGGAAAACGGTATCAAATATGAAATTGGTCATTACAAATTGTCACTGGCATGATGGTGTTTTCTGGGTCCTTGTTTTGTGATCTTGATCAAGTCAAATTGCTTTTGAGTTAAGAAGAGTTAAGGGACTTGTGGCAAGATCCAGTTGATGCAGGATTGAATGTTTGTAGTTAACGTGAAATATTGACGAGGTAAAAGCAATTACATTTAATTATATCAGGTTCCTATGTTCGGTTTTCTTGTTCTATGGTCAGTTAGTGCTACAGTCCGTTGGCGGGATGAAAATATTTTCCTCGCGGATCACAACATGAGATGAAGTGAGTTTAATGTCACGCTTCAAGATTAGCAACAGAGAATGTGTATGTTTGTGTGGGGTGTTTGAATGGATACCAACTAATGTCTGTTTTATTGTGCTTGTCAACCGATGTCTGTATGTCGCAGTTCAACATGGCTACTGCAAGTGTTCATCTCGGATCCTGAGCAGTCCTCAAGGCTTGTCACTTGTTCACTTGTCACGCCCCTTATCACCCCCATCGGTAGACCCAGGTTTGATTCCCCACATGGGCACAATTGTGAATCCCATTTTGGTGTCACCTGTGTACTTGATATTGCTGAATATTGCTAAAATCAGCTTGTAGACTGCCTTACAAGGTTCTTTTGAAAGTTGTCCAAATCCAAAATCCGCGTAAAACTAAACTCACTCACTCACCCTAAAGGCAGATTGCCAGTCAGGTAAACAAGAAGTACCATCTTCTGACATGTTTTTGAGGGACGTGGTTGAGGATTGAACCACTGTCCTTCTGTTCTCCACACAGACACATCGGACTCAGTAGTATTGTGTCAGTGTACATACCGGACAAGTGTGTATTAGTGTTGGGAATTGTTTGAAATCTCACAATTGATGATTGGTTCATTATCAACGAACAATCATCGAAAAAAAGTTATTAGCATCTTTTTTCCTGTTCAGGTTCTTATTGTAGATAAAATTAATAGAAAGAAAAAACGTGGTTCTCCGTTGTTTTCTGTTTTATTTAGAAACTGCACAAATTGCATTTGAAAATTTCACATCCAATGTAAAATCATGCAACTTGCAACTGTAAAATGATGACTAATATGTCATGAACGTAAAACCTTTCAGTAAGTGAAGTGAGTTTTTCTAAGAACTAAACACATTTTCTGGCCCTGACAACTTCTAAGGTAAATTCCACCGTCAAGTATTTAAAAAAACAACAACTGTAGTTGCAAAATTGTTTGTGTTCGATTATGAGAAAATGTGATCGATTGCTTGGTTGGTTGGTCTCTGCGACCAATCTTCGATTGTCTCAATTAATTGGAACACCACTAGTGTGTATTCCATTTTATCATTGTACGTTATGAGACAAACAATAGACTGAGGATTTGTGCGTGATGCATATCAAGCGAGACCCCATCTTGATGAACACTGATATGTAGATTCCCTTGTTGTGCCAAACTCTGTCTGGGCTTGCAAACTCTTACTTTATATGTTTCCATTTTAACTTGGGTGTGTTGTACCAGATGTGTGGAATCTCCAGTTGTCTCAAATTCAATTTATACCAAGAGCTAGTAACAACACGTATCCTTGTAAGTCAAATCAAAATTTTTTGACTAAATTGTTTGGCACAAGTTTGAATTTGTATCAGGCGTAATCACCTGAACACGATACTGCTTGAAACATCAAACAGGAAACCGTTGATTAACGTGAGTAAAGGCTGCCACAAATAAATGACTTCTTGTTTACACTGTTAGTGTGTAACTAATGTATAGTTACTCCTTCAGTCAGTGAAGGGATGTCGACTGTGTAACATTTGAGACAGTCTATACCCACGAGTAGCAGTCACATGGTCTTCTTGTGTGATGTCCCGTCACGTGATTGCAATGTTATACCAAGTGGCGGAATGTGCAAGACCAATCGTTAGTTGGTGTTTTTTGTATGCAATAATGCAGAATGACATGGCAGATCATCTTTAAAATGTTTTGTTTGTTGTTTGATACAGCTGTCAGCATTATTTGAACTGTATGACAACGGTCTGAAAGAATCCAATCTGGAAAAGACAAGTGACCAAAGCCATGATCATCTAACAGGGGTGGAAATAACTCATTGCCCGACGTCCGAGTTCAGTGTTTTTTATCTGTCGGGCAAGCAAATTTGTATATCACACTGTACCGGTGTCCAGTTGATATTCCAATGTTAATTATGTTGTTTATTTAAAAAATCAACAAGAAAACGGATGGTATAGTGGAAAAATTATCAGGGCAAGTGATTTTACATGTGCCACTGTTCCGGAGTACACTAGCAATTTTAAAGTTATTTCACCCCTGATCTAATCTACCCATTTGGGATACGATGTCATGCATCTAGCGAGTAACCGAGCCTGACCACTGGTCTTGAAAATAACTTTCAACCCATAACTTGATGGATCATCACACGGGTAACGGATACCAATGCATGAATAGACATAGAGAGTGCTTCTGATTATATGGATATTCTTGTTGTGTATGTGGTTCATCTGCACTCTGTCGCCAGATGGCTAGGTCCTCCGGTCCCCAGAAATGAGAGGCTACTGAATTAAACTGTAGTTACTGTGATGTCATCTTTGCTGATGGTACCACATATGCAAACCAGTTTTCTCCACTACAAACTGGGGTAAATGATAGTCACTTGGAGTAAGGTTTACAGACAGGAGTTTCTAAATGAGCTATTAGTTGGCAAGTGTTTTTCATTCAGATCTGACAGACCAATGAGAACAAAGCAAGAAAGTATTGCATTACTTGCACTTGACAGGAAACTTCATGAGTCTTGACGACCCTTGATCAGTCTATATATATAACATCATAGTCTGTCATCCCATCTCTAAAACAGAAACCCGCTGTGATATTGCTGGAATATTGCTAAAAGTGTCGATAAGCCATACTCACTCACCCACTCACTCGGAAACAGAAACAGCCAAAAATTCACAAGCAACTCTACACTATTTTTGCAAGTCTAGATTTCTTCAGTTTCTGAAAATGAAGAGATTTTTTAAGTCTCATTGATATTCTTTATTAACAATTTAACTGAAATACTATTGAAAACAGCAATAAACTTGCCTTCTTGCTCACTCCCATTATCGTAAAATCCCCAGGAAACAAGCTTCTTTCATATCAAGGAAGTGGAAATTAGGACGACAAGTACTTACATTGTTGTCGCCATATCTACTGTAGTTAATTTTCGATAACTGCAATAAAGAAGAAATGTGAATTTTGTTTATTGGGTCTGTAGGGTAGGTAGCCCAGTGGTTAAAGTGCTTGCCTGTCAGGTTGAACACATGAATTTGATTCCCTTGATGCATATAGTGTCTGAATATACCATATCCTGATAGTGCTGGAATATATGAGCGTAACCCAATGCTCCCTAGCTTGTCTAATCTATATCACTATTTATATATCACTCTTGACGTTTTGCACCAGTTTTAGGACACAACCCTGTGAAGTCCTTCTCCAACGTTGGGATATCAACATAAGATAAAGTTAGATGCAGGGGAGGACATTTTGGAATAAAATATTTACATGACACAAACCCACCAGGATTCTTGTCGGATGTTCTATATAGCACCAAGTTCAGATCCAATTATGAAGGAATGCTGAACAGCTAAGGGCACAAAGGGTAAAGCTAATTTTGTCTTCAGTTAAGCCAGATGTCTGATATTTAACTCTGCTAATCAGAAGCTGAGCAAGCCTGAAACCAGCCTTGGCCTATATCTGTTATCAAGAGTGACACTGATTTACTTCGGAAGGGTTTTCACCAGATCTAACTATCCAGGGGAAGTGGCCATGATTCAATCTGCCTGCTCATTAGAACTGACAGTACCAGTACAGTTTCATAAATGTATGTTGCTATGTAAGAGATGTGGAGATATGTTCCCTGAGGAATCATCTTGTTTGAATGGCGTTTGCATTGTTTATGTACAGTAATGGTGTTTTGATAGCCAGTCTTGTAGCTTTGATAAGAGCTGATCCAACCCTTAAGGCCACAATAAATTAATTATCAGGTTTTTATCAATAGTGTTGCCTGACAAGTATTTTATTTCTTTGTTATTTTATACAATCTGGTCCAGCATCTGTGAACTGTGGATGGATGTGTTTCAAGTGAAGACTGACTGCTTGGTAGAACTGTCTGAAGATGAGTTAGACCTCCTTGGGGTTCTAGGACAAACTAGGTCAGTTGTACATGCTTGTTGTACAAGCAGCTTGATGGATAGGGAGGTCAACTGTGTGACCTTGGCCCTAATCTGCTTGTTCAGAATGGAAGGCTGTTTGAAGTGTAAGTTTGTTTATTGTGTAACAACTCACTCAAAAATAGTCGGGTTTTGTGTGTGTTTTTTTGTGGCAGTTTGTAAATATTCAAGTCTGGACCTGACAATTAAGTGATAGATCCCACAATGGGATACGATGACATGTGACAACCACGACAGCAAGTGGTCCTTCTTCGATCTCCACAATGGGATACGATGACATGTGACAACCACGACAGCGAGTGGTCCTTCTTCGATCTCCACAATGGGATACGATGACATGTGACAACCACGACAGCGAGTGGTCCTTCTTCGATCTCCACAATGGGATACGATGATGACATGTGACAACCACGACAGCGAAGTGGTCCTTCTTCGATCTCCACAATGGGATACGATGACATGTGACAACCACGACAGCGAGTGGTCCTTCTTCGATCTCCACAATGGGATAATGATGACATGTGACAACCACGACAGCGAGTGGTCCTTCTTCGATTTCCACAATGGGATACGATGACATGTGACAACCACGACAGCGAGTGGTCCTTCTTCTCGATCTCCACAATGGGATACGATGACATGTGACAACCCGCGACAGCGAGTGGTCCTTCTTCGATCTCCACAATGGGATACGATGACATGTGACAACCACGACAGCAAGTGGTCCTTCTTC